GCTTGATTTTAATCAAGTTTACCTTTCTTTTTCTTCCCATCCCCTTTCTTCTTTGTCTTCGTACCCAAAGCTAATCAAGCTTTAAGTTCTAAATCATCTATTATCTTGATTGGCTGTAGCTCCTATAGAGAGTGTGATGTGATCTGATTTGATCCATTTGGCATTGGTAAGACTATGAATTTTATATGAGCAATGGAATCACTAGAGAAATTACAAAAGAAAATGAGTCAACTCAGTAAATAAAGCGCCTGAAAAATATAGATGGTGAAAGAATAAAAGAAATTAAAAATGCAACAATAGAGGATAAAGAAAAATGATTATATTGTTTAATTTGCAGACCATTTGAATATCACTTAAAGCTGCTATGTTTAAAGGATGGGTAGCATGGTCAGTAATTGATGATATGTGATTGGATTCCAAAGGAGTACAGGACGTCTTAAGACTATACAGTTTATGTGGATGCTTCCTCTCTGTACTTATTCCAATAATATCTCTAAAAATAAAAGGATCATGCTACAGATTGGATGCAAGAACCAGCAAAATGCTTAAAATCTATGATTCCAGGGAAGGATGTACATAAAAGGTAGAGGAAATGAAATCTGAGCTTCTAATGTTATGATAATTTTGTATATGCACTAATACTAAGCTGCAAGCGTCCGTAAGTTGGGTAGCACTTGTACCCATTAACAAAATTATTTTGGCTATTATAGAAAAAAAAAAGAGAGAGAATTGAAATAGCATCACAAAATGAATGAGTCCATACCTGGACTTCACTATCAAGTGAAAACTCTTCTAGAATATGAAACCTATAGCAAGAATTCCTTAGGACCTACATCAACAAAAACCAACCAACTCAATTATATTAATAAGAAAAAATAAATAAGGAGCTTTCTAAAAGATAAGTCCAATAGGAGGTGTTAAGAATTTAATTCTCTTACCTATGCCAATCTATGGAAAACTTCTTTAAATACTATGTTAGTTGTCTTGTTTGAAATCTGACCTTCATTATCTAAACTCAAAATTTTCAACCCTTGTTTACTCCTAACTCTTGATAGAGCCACACACAATTGTCCATGACTAAAGATAGGCCTTGGAAGATATATTCCAACATGAGAGAGAGTTTGCCCTTGACTTTTATTTATAGTCATAGCAAAACACCTAACCAAAGAAAATTACCTTCGTTGAAATTTAATTGGCAATGAGTGATTGGAAGGTGTCATGATCATTCGGGGTATTAGAACAATTTGGCCTATGTTGTTGCCTAAAATAATCTTAGCCTCAATAACATGGTTTCCCATTTTTGTAATAAGCAATCTCGTTCCATTGCATAAGCCATTTGACTAATCAATATTCCTTAACAGCATAACTAGCACCCCAACTTTAAAATTCAGCTTATGATTTGGAAGTCCAGAACCTGTGAATGTATTTAATACTTCAGGAGAGTAGGTCTCTTCATCATTTTGAAAGCTAATATCGTCCTTGCCGATAGTGTCTGAACTTAAGTAACTTCTCTCTTCACCAAGAATGAAAGACATTAAATGATCATTCAACATTGCAACATCATTAAGAGTTGGAGACAAAATAGCACGTTCTTGGAAAAATGCAAGATCATTTGTTTTAATTTTTTCCAAGAAATTTGGATATGCAAAGTCCACCAAATCAGCAAGCCCATTTTCTAAATCTTTAATCAACATTTCATTTGGAATTTCAATGATCGCTTCACCATCTACATCCTCTCCAACTTCTCCATTACCAATCTTCAATAACCAATTAGAAAATTCTCTCAAGTCAGTTAGATCTTGGTTTAAAGAACTTAGATGCAGCCTCATATTTCTTGTTAAAGTCAAAACTTCACAAGAATCCCACAAATCTGAAGAATTTATTGTCGCATTCACTATCTCTTGTCTTCCACCATAAGGAACAACTGGCAATATTTGTCTAAAATCACCTCCAAGAACAACAATTATCCCTCTAAATGGTACTTTAGAACAATTACTATTGGAGAACTTCAAAATACCTGATATGGTTCTGTCCAATGCTTCAAAACAGAATCTATGTGTCATTGGAGCTTCATCCCATATAATCAATCTTGTCTTTGACAACAATTCAACTTGAGAAGAGTCCATTTTGATGTTGCAAGTAGACTTTTCATTTATTTCAATTGGGATTGCAAATCTAGAATGAGTTGTTCTTCCCCCAGGAAGCAAAAAGGCTGCAATACCACTTGAAGCAACATTAAGCACAATTTCTCCTTTTGATCGAAAAGCTGCTGACAATGTTTTCCAAATAAAAGTCTTACCCGTTCCCCCAAATCCATATAAAAAGAATATGCCTCCTTTATTATCAGAAGCTGCAATCATTGTCCTATCATAAACATTTCATTGCTCAATAGTAAGGCAAGACAAATACACTTCATGCTGCTTTATTAATGAAGCTCTATCATAAGACAATTCATCCAAAACCAACTTGTTATGAACATCAGACAATAAAACTCCAGTCAGAACAGGCATGGTAGGATAATCTTTAAGACTTCTTCCATTGCTTTGAAGGATTCTTTCAACTTCAGCAAGAGCATTATTTTTTATCTCGTCACTCATAATCAAATCTAAATTGAATAATAGAAACATGTAAAGATAATCATCCACACATGTATATAGGGAAAAGCAACTAATAAATTGGAACACTAATAGTCTACATAAATTTATTTATACTTATATAAATTTAAAACATTTACCATCATGATAATGCAAGGCATCAAATATGATTACTAATATTATTGTTTATGGAGATACTAAAAAAATTCAATTATGTGTAGAAATAGAATGCAAGTGACTAAAGAACATGCATTTGTTGAGGGATTGTGATAGATTAGAAAATTTTAAAATAATAAAAAAAAACAAAATAAAATTCAAAGAGAGCTCGTTTTTTATAACTAAATCCAAAATAGTGAAGGTTTGTAATTCACACTTACACTAAGACTATATAATTTTTAAGATAATGGAAAAAAGGTATAAAAAGCTTTTTAAAAGTAAAACAATCAAAATAAAAAAGTTAGACAATAGAAATTGAAAATAGTAGAAATTCAAACATATTTCATCAATATTTTCCAGCCATTCAAAATAAGAAAATGTATTATAGAAGCCAAAACACAAAAAAATTAAAACGTCCCCTAAAATGACCTAAATAGAGAGTTCATCTCATACTTCACAAGAAAAAAAAAAATAGTCTTGTTTCCCTTTTTGCTATTCATCCCCAAGAAAATTGAACACAACAACCATTAAAAAATGTAGACGAAAATGAATAAATGGATCCAAACAAAAAGACAATAAAGGAAATTAATAAAAAAAAGTGAAAAAGACACATGTTTGCTGCAAATGAAAGAAAGAAATTAGTATAAAAAGCAATCAAAAGATGGACCATGATAATGAGGAATTCTTCTAAGACATGGAGAGTTC